ACTACGGGCTCAGGATCTCGTGTCCACGGTGCGGCAGGCGGGCGCCCAGGACGGTGCGATAACGGAATAGACAGGCTGGACACGGGCATCAACCGCCGTGGTCTAAGAGTACGAACACTTCATCTTGGCAGAAAGGGGCAGGAGGCAAGCCTGATCGGGCCAACAGGTGGGCAGCGAGGCCACCGATACTGGGGGATAACAAGAAGCCCGACCTTACCTTCACAAAGAGAGCAGCGACAATAACAACGGCGTGGAATACGACCCGAAGATTGCCAAGATCATGCTGGAGAGTATGGCCAAGGCACACGGTGTCGACCGGACCAAGTGACCCAACGGCTGCAAGGACCTTGTTGTGTGCTGGGACAAGGCTGTGGAGTCCGAGGCAAAGGGCGAGCAGTCAGCTCCCAACTACAACGGCATGTCGGCGTTCCAGCTCGGGCAGCGGCTGCAGGACATCAACAAGAAACTCGACGAAGCGCGGGAGCGTCTGCAGGAACGGAACCACGAACTGCAAGAAGCCACGCGAGCTAGGTATGCAGATCCGCTTATTGTCGCCAACCATGAGGGGCGGAGGAAGAAGACCAAGGAGGTACAAGCTGAAACATTCATTCGAGAAATTGCTGGAGGGCCTACTCCCGCGGGCAATCCTGCGGTGGTGCTGTGCGGCAAGGTGGTCAATATCCAGAAACAGATGGGGAGCGATAACATCCTTAGCTGTCTCGAAGAAACTCTCCGAGTGCTACAACAAGCGCTTGGATCCCTCGATCAGCAGCTCAACGACACAGCCGAACAGACACAATCGAAGGAAGGTGGGACAGTGCACAGCGTGGCCTCTGATAGCGATCATGATCCTGACGACGATAAGGTGGGCTACGTTGGTATTCCTGTTCCCGACGAGGACGACTGCGAGGAGATCTTCCTGCAGGCCGGGCTCAAGCTCGATGGCGTCGGCGAAGAGGGTGGGCGCAAGCGGATCAAGGCTGCCAGCGTACGACTGCTCGAGTCCCTTACCGTGGCCTACGCCGCCGCTGCAGCAAAGCAAAGAAAAGGTCCAGTCCCCAGTTCCTGCCCAAGCTGGAGCAGATGACAAATGAGTCGACTGTGAACCTTGCTGGTGGAGTCTGGGGGCAAGCGGACTGGAATGCTGTTTTGGCGATTGGCCGTTTGCACGGAGAAGTCAAACAATGGCACGATGCCCTACGAGGTGGGTGGCAGGCAGCTACCACGCAGTATGGTGTCGAAGTGCAGGCTGTTGAGATGGGTGGTGGCCGTATTCGTGGCAGTGCTGAATCCCTTTGCACGGCTGCCAGCAGGCAGCTGGTCGATGCCCGTGCCAAGGTTAGTCCGCTCCATGGGGCCACTGACGAGTGGACAGCAGCCCCTGTGGAGGTGTGCAGAGGGGGCGCTGTCACCCATGAGGCTGGTCATCACGCAAGCAGCAGTGTTGAATCCCTGGGTCAAGCTGCCGACGGGCAGGTGGTCGATGCCCTGACCCAGTGTATTTCGCTCCGCGGGGCCACTGGCGAGTGGACCGCAGCCCCCGAGGAGATGTGCAGAGAAGGCACTGCTTCCCGCAATACTTCGACTACATCGACTGGAACCAGCCCGTCTACGGAGCAGGAGAGGCAGGCCCAGCAGGGCCATGACCGAGGTGGTGGAGGTCGCGTGAAGGCAGAGGCCCCAGGTTTGTGGCGAAGCTGGGTCCCAGTGAGGTGGGCTGGAGGCTCGTGTCCGTCAGTCTCATGGGGAGATGGTTCGGGTAGTATTCGAGAGTGGAGCTTCGTCACTGTCTGCATCGCAGCAGCGCAGAAGGAAGCAGCTAAGACGGATTGGTTGGTAGTGGGGTGCTCGAAATGCTCCCGAACACGGGCGGGTTCCTCTCCCAGGATCACAAGTTGCTGAGTGAGGTGGTAGGCGGTGACGTGCTGCGGCCCCACCATCAGGGCTGGAAGTGTCGTCTCCGGCCAGTCCGCAAAGGGGCAGGACGAGCTGCCCGCTCGGGCGTAGCAGTCGGTGTGCGTCAAAACGTAGCTTCCACGGTGCCTCCTGACCTCGGAGGAGTGGCGCCACAAGCGTGGATATGGACCGCGCAAAGGGTGGGCGGTAGGTTGCCAGGTGGTTCCATTTTAGCATCCATCTTCCTAGTCCGTGGGCGCAATATCAAGGATTGTGAAGGCGCCATCGAGCGCATGCTCATGACGTGCATGGAGCAGCTCAAGAGAATTGGCAGGCCCTTTATCGCCGGGGGTGGTTGGAACATGGCCCCTTCTGAGTTGGAGGAGCTCCAAGTTCTGCAGCGCGTTCCCGCGATGATCGCTGCGCCAACTCAGTGGACATGTGCTTGTGGAGAAGAGTGGGCGTTGTGCTATCCAGTCGCCAGCAAACACTTCAAGGGCCTCGTCGCGGGGATAGAGAGAATAGATGGGCTCTTCATTGCTGCGCGCTGGGGAGTTCGGCTGAGGCTGATCTTTGGGCCTGGTGTTGCACTTGAGCAGCAGATCGAATGCCGGAGTTCCCGAAGCAGTGCCCACCAGTATAACCGCGACCTCCGCCTTCGTGTTAGCGTATCCATGATGGGTGCGAGCGTGTTCGGGGCAACTGGGACTTGCGGTGGTGCTACGCCGAATGGCGGAGGTTAGCTGAGCAGGAGTTTGCGGATCTCTACGAGCTGGGCGATAGACTGCCCAAAACTTGTCAAGGTCGTGGGGGGATGCCATGGCATGAGCTCGAGATGGTGGCGACTGTGCGCAAATCTCCACGGCGCGGTGCTGAGGGCAACGCTGCGTGTCGGATATGGCGGCCAGGGATAGGTGCGACAGTGGAGGGCGTCAGTCGCTGCGGCTGTTAAGAGTGGGGGCACGAAAGCGCGCCGGTGGCCAGAGCTACCTACATCCTGGCAGCAGGCTGATCTCCACCCTGCGCTTGGGGTCCAATCTCACGCCTCCAAGCTGAACTCAGACCTGGCGGAATGCACGAAGATATGGGGAGCCTGCGACGGAGAAGAAAGCTTTGGTGCTGAACTACGATTGCAGATGCCCTTGGACGAGGTGCATATGCTGGATGTGATTCATGCCAGGAAAGTGGCCAGCAGCTTCATGCGTGGTACGGCTTCGGGGTGGACAAGCTTCGGCCGCGCAACATGGCGCTGTTATCCGATGGCTCGCTCGGGGCGTTCGCTGACATCATGAAGGTTGCGGGGGCCATAGGTGAGCTGCCGCCTCAGATGACCACCGCCATCATGCCCAGATTGCCCGAGCCAGAAGGTGATCATCGATTCATTGGCTGGCTCGCAGACACCCTCAGGATCCTACAACGCGTGCCGCGAGAGGGGCCAAGACGAGTGGCTTGGAGCGCATGTCAAGAATTACCACTGCGCGGTCGCAGGGGGGGGGGGGCGGGGGGGGGGCGGGCGGTTTGGGCGCAAACCGTCATGGCTGAAGCAGGTTCGGCGCGCAAAAGACACGCTGTTACGGTCGTGCTGGCATTGGAAGGTTTTCGGGAAGATGCCGCGTGCGAAGTTGTGGGTGCTTGGGCGCAGGCGCGGGTTCGCGCGCTCGAGGCTTGCATTGCTTCTCGAGTCATGCGCGGGAAGAAAGGCAATGCAATTTGATTATTTGGTTCTGATTTTGTTATGACGAATGATGGAGGCATTGCTGGAGGTTCTTTCGCCACCACGGTATGCGAAGCAGGGTGCCGCCAGCCACCGTCATCAGCGGCCGCGAGAGAAGCTGCGTGAGCTCAGGGAGGCTGCGGCCGCATCGACCCGGAGGCGCGTCCTTCGCATCCTCAGGCTGTGCCGGGCAGAGGTGTGGAAGGCTGTGCAGCAAGTGATTGAGGGAAGGCCCGTGCGCGGCCCTGGTCTAGTCCTATTCGAAGATGGGGGCCACCTGCTTCAGCGCTTCCAGGGGCGATGGGTGTGCGGGAGGTGCGGGGATAGCCGTGCTCGTCCGCAGGACCTGGCTCTCGTCCCGTGCCGTGGGGCCCCCAAAGGGGTCTGGGATGCGCGCCCATCGCATAAGCTGTGGCAGACTGGTCCCATGGTTTGGTGCTTCGAATGTGCTGCTCGGTGTATCTCGAGGGCCTTTTTGATGTCCAGACCTTGTCTTGGGAGGCCGCCCCTGGGATCCGCGAGGCACCTATGCGTAGGTATCTCATCCAGGGGCGGGATCCGTCTGGCGAGAAGGTGGGGCCTGGCTTCAAGAAACCTGTACCCATCTTCGCTCGAGGCGATCAATAGTGGTTGCCTCTCATTATGATTGGTGTTTGGCCTGGTGCATCGTTCTCGGCACGCTTCGTCGTCATCCAGATTCTCCAGAGTCCCCCTCCTCCTCCTCCTCCTCCTTCTCGTCGTCCTCCTCCTCCTCCTCGTCTTCCTCCTCCTCTTCGTCCTCCTCCTCCTCCTCTTCCTTCTCCCCCTCCTCCTGTTCCTCGTCCCCCTCGTCCTCCTCCTCCTCCTTTTTCCTCCTTCTCCCCAGCCTCCTTTTCCTCCTCCTCCTCCTCCTCCTCCTCTCTTCCTCGAAGCCTCCTCCTCCTCCTCCTCCTCCTCCTCTTCCTCCTCCCTCCTCCTCCCCAGCCTCCAACTCCTCCTCCCTCCTCCTCTTCCTTCCTCCTCGCCTCCTCCTCCTTCTCCTCTTCCTCCTCCTTCTCTTCCTCTGCCTCCTCCTCCTCCTCCTCCTCCTCCTCCTGTGCCTCCTCTTCCTCCTCCTCCTCCTTCTCTGCCCTCTCTGCCTCCTTCTCCTCCTCCTCCTCCTCCTCCCGTCCTTCCTTCTCCTCCTCCTCCTCCTGCTCCTCCTCGTCCTCCTCCTCCTCCTCCTCGTCCTCCTCCTCCTCGTCCTCCTCTTCCTCGTCTTCCTCGTCCTCCTCCTCCTCCTCCTCCTCCTCCTGCTCCTCCGCCTCCGCTTCTCTCCTCTGCCCCTCAGAGGCCCCGATGGGGAGGCGAGGGGGTGCGCTCGCGGCCAGAGCGCTGGGGCCCGGGACCGTGGCCATCCCCGGCCAGCGAGGACCTCGTGCCGGACGGGGCGGCGGAGTGGTACGACGCGGACGGGGAAATGTACACCTGCGAGTGGTACGCCGCCACCAACAGGTGCGCGCGCTGCTTTTTCGAGGGGGCTCTGTGCCGGTTCCTTTCCCCCTGCCCCTCGCCTTTGTTCCCCTTTCGAGATCCACCGGGATCCTGAAACAAGAGTGCTCATTTCCATAGTCACATGATTGTCCGTTCGAAGACGTCCACTGGCCACGAGTGGCCAATGCGCCGCCTGGCGCCCAGCAGAGCCGCCAGAAGCGTACTAGAGTGGATTGCTTCACCATCTTGCCAATGCACCTCTGACGTGCACGTTTTTGTTTCTTTGTTGTTGCTTCTTTGTCTCTCTCTCTCTCTCTCTCTCTCTCTCTCTCTCCTCGAGATTGTATTATGACCCTCTGGCGCGTAAAGGTCGCCACCCGAGCCTTTCCGCCCTCCCCCCGGGTAAAGGTAACAATCGTACATGGGGGGGTGGGGCGGAGGCTGGCCCCCCCCCCCCCCCACATGCTGGTGCTCGCACGCGTATTGGGGCAATCGCAGCGCACCCCCGCCCTGACGTGCCCCACCCCGCCCAAGCGTTACCGTTACCCGGGACCGCCCCCCCACCAACCACCTTGGGGCAACGACCGTTACCCGAAATATTGAAAGACGCAATCTCCTCTCTATCTCTGCGGCAGTTCGAAATTGCATATTCCCGAACATGAGGGGTTGTTCGTCTCCCTGCTGCCTCTCTCCGCACTTGCGTGCCTCGTGTTGCGCTGTCTGCTGTGCCTCCCCCCCCCTCTCCTCGGCGGAGAGCCGAGGGGGAAAGTCAGAGGGGGCGGGCCCTCTCAGGAGGTTGAGAAGGCCTCTGGCCTTCGGAGAAGAGGGGGAGGGGGGGGGGAGGGGGAGGTGGGAGGTGGAGGGGGAGGGGGAGGAGGGGGAGGGGGAGGGAGGAGGGAGGAGGAGGGGAGGAGGAGGAGGAGGAGGAGAGGAGGAGGAGGAGGAGGAGGAGAGGAGGAGGAGGAGGAGGAGGAGGAGAGGAGGAGGGAGAGGAGGAGGAGGAGGAGGGGGAGGGGGAGGGAGAGGAGGAGGAGGAGCAGGAGAAGGAGGAGGAGGAGGAGGAGGAGGATTTTCCGAGGCTTCCCCGAAGACGCAGAGGGTTTCTCAGAAGGCGCGCGGGCTTCTGAGAAGCCCTGCCGCCTTCCCGGAAGGCCCGCCCTCTCTCGCTTCCCCCCTGGGGCTCGCCGCAGACCTCCGCGGCCGCCGTGCACAGAAGACGGCCAGGCGGCACTTCCGCAGCGGAGCACCCTAAGGGCGAAGAGAGATAAACAGCATACGCCGAAACCGTCGGAACTCCGCGCGGATTTCTTGGATCGGCGCTTGGGCCCTCCCGCCAGCGCCTCCAGCACCGCCCCCTGGCGCGCTCCGCGTGCCAGGGAGGAGGGTCTCGCGGCGCCGGTCCAAGAAATCTGCGCGGACCTTTGACAGTTTATGCTTAGGCAGTTTTTGATTTCTCTATTCCAGCTGCCTGCAGCAAACCCCGCCACCGTGCCTGTGCAACAGCGCGGAGAGAAGGAGGCTGAGTGTAGGAACAGTGCAATTCCGACGAGTAGTCTGCAGTGGGGCGGGTCGCGATCCCCACCTCGTCTTCTTCCGCGCGGTAGGGAGGAGGAGGCGGAGGAGGAGGAGGAGGAGGAGGAGGAAGAGGAGGAGGAAGAGGAGGAGGAGGGGGAGGAGGAGGAGGAGGATGAGGAGGAGGAGGAGGAGGAGGAGGAGGACCAGTGGAAACCCAAGGGTCATCAACGATGTTGGAATCAACCCTCCCTCCAAGCACACGACCCGGCCCGCGACCCACCCGCGACCCATCCGCGACCCACCCGCGACAGACCCGCAACCCACCCCGCGACCCACCCCGCGACCCACCTGCGACCCACCCCGCCTGCAGCGGGCTCTTTGAATAATTTGGGAAAATTAAGCGCCTGCGGCGAGCTTCTTCAGAACCTCGCAGACTGCCGACGTCCCCGCCGCCCCCTCACTCTTATTAGCAACTGCGGGGGGCTACATATTTTTCAAAAAGGATCGTGCCCGTCTGGACCAAACATGTAGCCGGCGTTGAGGCGAGAGCACGATTCTTGAATACATTGTGAGGACGTCTCAGGCGAAACGGCTGCCAGACCAGGCGTCTCTGGGCTCCGCGTCCCCCCTTTTGGGGCTCTTCTATTTTTTGTTTTAAAAACATAACTGGAACCCTTTATCGCAACGATCTTCGGGAACATGAGGTTTTGATGCTCCGTGCGGATTTCTCGGATGCGCACTGGACCCCCCTGGCAGCGCCTACGGCGCCGCCCTTAGCGCGCTCCGCGCGCTGGGGAGGGGGGTCCAGCACCGGTCAAAGGAATCCGCGCGGACCTGGCGAGGGCCATCCTGGGCCTTGACTTTTCGGCTTTCTGCGGGGTCCCGAGGGCGTGTGCACCATGCGAGGGCCCAGGGTGGCCATGGCCAGGCATGGTGATGGTGCTGTCTTCTGCGTGCAGCCGCCCATTTTACAATTACTCAATATGAATACTACTCTCCCTCCTCCCCTGATGACGTGCTGGGAGTGTTCGACCCCCCCCCCCGCGTCCTGCTTTTTTACACAGGATTCTCGAGAGTTGGGTTTTCGCTTGCATTTTTTTTCAAAATGCTGCTCTCGCTGAGGCGCCGGTCTCATTTTCGGGCCCCGCTCGTTCCGAATCGTGCTCCCGCTGCAGCGCTGGCCTCATTTCCGGCTTCCGCTCGTTCCGAATCGTGCTCCCGCTGCAGCGCTGGCCTCATTGCCGCGCTTCCGCTCGTTTTCGACTCGTGCTCCCGCTGCAGCGCTGGCGTCATTTCCCGTGCCATGCCACGGCATGCGATGCAATGCTAGGTTGATGCTACGCTTTGCGGTGCTCTTCTACGCCATGCCATGCCGTGCTCTACAATGCATCGCGTACCCTGTCGGGATCATTGCCATGCTCGACATCCGACTGTGCGAGTAGAGAGGGGATCTACGCCATGGTAAGGGATGGGAGGGAGGGGTAGGATGTCAGATATGACGCAAGCGCACCTAGCTTGGCCCCTCCCCCTCCCCCTCCCCCTTCCCCCCTCCTCCCTCGGAGGGGGCGGAGGAGGACGTGGAGGGAAAGAGGGTACCACTGAACCATAGCATGTTGTGGTGTGTTGTGTTGTGTTGGAAGGTATTGTGGTGTGTCGTGTCGTGTTGTGTTGTGTTGTGTCGTGTCGTGTAGTCTGGTCCTGTTTTGTTTTGTGTTGTGTTATGCTGTGCTGTGCTGTGCTGTGGTGTGCTGTGCTGTCTGTTTGTTTGATAGTTCGTTCGGTTGTTTGCCTGTTTATTTGTTTGTTTGTTTGTTTGTTTGTTTGGTTGGTTGGTTGGTTGGTTGGTTGGTGGTTTGGTTGTTTGCTTGTTTGTTTTTTGGTTGTTTGTGTGTCTGCGCGCGCGCGTGTGTGTGTGTGTGTGTGTGTGTTTGCGCGTGTGTGTGTGTGTGTGTGTGTGTGTGTGTCTGCGCGTCGCCCGGCGCCCCGCCCTGCGCGTGTCTTTCCCTCCCGGCGCCCCGCGCGCGCCCGCCTCGGCCGCCCGCGCTGACGCGCGCGGCGGCCGCCTCGGTCTCGTTCGCCTCCTGTTCTCGTCGCTCGCTGTACTGCGCCTCCACTTCCCCGGGCTCTGCCCTGTCCGCCCGCTGCACCCTCGCTGCCCATTCGGGGGCGGAAAAGAGGGGGGTGATGACTAGGGGGGGTGGATATCTTGGCGTGGGCCATGATATTTCCCCAGATTTCATGGCGCCTCTTCTTGTTTGATTACTGATTACGTCCCTGACCCCCCCGCTGGACCGCGCACATGCCGCCGGTCATGATTTGCACCCCCCCCTCTTGGACACCCCCCTCTTGGCCGCTCCCGACCCATGCCCAGTTGTGCGTGTGGCTGGTCGATCCAACATGGGCCCCCACGCTCTCGGCCCCCCCCCCCCCCCCCTCGGGCATGCGCGCCCGTTCTTGTGACTTCCTCCGCCTCGACGCCGCGCGCGAGGCGGCGACCGCGCAAACGTGTGTTAAGAATGGGTGGCGTTCAGCTGGCGTCTGGTGTGCTGCGGCCCGGAAGGAGCACCTTCGAAGCTTGAGGAAGGGTGCCCAGCGCCTCGTGGCTCCAGGGCGGCCGTTCCGAGAAGCACTCGGGGGCCAACCTGTTCGATCAAGGCGAGGTGCTTCCTGGCGGGTCCAGTCGGGCAATCCTCAGACGGGGTCGTGGCTCTTCCGACGGGGTCGTCCATTGCCTCGTAAGGTTGCCTCGGGTGAGCTCGCGGGTGGTCGGAGACTGGCGAAGCAGCTGTCTGCGAGCCGCCGAGACCCGTGCGACGGGCAGATTCACATCTTCCGGTGTGGCTCTTGACACGGGCGCCGCCTCCAAGAGCTTTTCCATGACATGTGCACCTTGCCGTTGCAGAGCCATGGTTGCACGGAGGAGGAGGAGGAGGAGGAGGAGGAGGAGGAGGAGGAGGAGGAGGAGGAGGCGGAGGAGGACGAGGAGGAGGAGGAGGAGGAGGAGGAGGAGGAGGAGGAGGAGGAGGAGGACTAATGCTGCAGCGATGTTGATCGTAATGGAAAGCGGCAGTATGGGGCCCCGCCTGCCCTGAAACCACTTCCCCCAGCTGCGGGGAAGACTGGGTGCAGGGCGTTGCGCTCTTCGGCATGACGGCCACCCAGGCCTGCTGCACCTGCGGCGGCGGCGAGACCAGCGGCGGCCACGACTACTACGACGACAACTCCTACGACTACGACTGCAACTACTACTACTACTATTACTGCGACAACGCCACCACCACGGACGCCGACCTCCTGGGCGCCAGCGGCACCGACGCCGACACCGCGGACGTGATCAGCACCGCTGCCCGCACGAGGGCTGGCGCCCTCCTGCTGGCCGGCGCCCTGGCCGCCTCCGCGGCTGCGTGAGGGCGGCGCGCCCGGTGGGTGCCCGTCGCGGGCGCCTCGGCGGCGCCGTCCTGCTGGCGGCGCCACTGTTGGCGGGCAGGCCCCAGCTCGCCAGGAAGCAAACTCAGATCTCCGGCGATGTGAGATCCCTTCAGAGTTCTCGTCGCGCGCCACTCCTAGGTTTCGGCCGCTCGGGCCCAGGGGCCAATCAAACTCGGGCGCGGGACGCAAAACTGCCCCTGGGGAAGCTGCTGGGACCCTGGGACCACACATTGCAGCAATCATGTCGATGGATGTCTGGGAACGGGTCCTGAAGGAAACGTTGGTCTGAGGTTTTCTACCCTTTTTGGCCTCCCCGTTGCCCTCCAGTGGCCCCCTGGAGTGTCCGAGGGCAGCTCCAGACCAAACGCTGGTGGTCTTGGGACAGACCCCGGGGTTCAGGACCCGTTTCCCTCAGGGCTCGGTTGTTTTATGCCGAGCTGGGCGGCGCCCGCACAGGGGTGGCGCGAGGTGGGTCGGCTTCTGTGAGAAGGCGGTGGGGCTTCAAGGCAGCGAGGCTTCTCAGAAGCCCGCCCAGCTTCGAAGAAGCCTTCTCAGAAGCTGGCGGGGCCCTCTAAAGAAGGCCCCTGCCTTCTCTACGACTCCCTCCCTCCCTTCGGAGAAGGCCGCCCGCTTGGCGGCGCCCCCTTTGTGAGCGCTGCCAGCGAGCAGTTCCAGTCACGAGGTAGTCCTCGCACGACCTCGCTGGCAGGTCCACCTTGGTGACCCCGTCGGCGCCGACGCCCCCCCTGGCAACGCTTAAGGCGGACCTGTCCCTCTGCAGGGGGAATGTTCAAACATTGTCAAAACATAGTCTGGGGACTTTATCTATTTATGTATATACATTACTATTTTTGAACATCCTGGGGTATGTGTGTTGTCACTTTTTCCCTACCTAGGCTCTGCCTAGAAGGGTTCTTACTCTCTAGCTTAAAGGGGCCGGCCAGTGCTACCCGCCCTGGGCGGTTCCCCTGGTCCCCTGGGAGCGGTTCCCCCAGTCCCCTGGGAGCTTTAGCTTTAACTTTAGCTTTAGCTTTAGCTTTAGCTTTAGCTTAGCTTTCGCTTAGCTTTTGCTTAGCTTTAGCTTAGCTTTCGCTTAACTATAGCTTAACTTTAGCTTAGCGTTAGCTTTGCTTTAGCTTACCTTTATCTTATATGTAGCTTAGCTTTAGCTTAGAAGTAGCTTAGCTTTACCTTAACATTAGTTTAGCTTTAGCTTAGCTTTACCTTAGCTTTACCTTAGCTCCAGCCTAGATTTAGCTTAGCTTTAGCTTAAATTTAGCTTAGCTTTAGCTTAGCTTTAGCTTAGCTTCAGCTTAGCTTCAGCTCAGCTTTAGCTTAGCTTTATCTTAGCTTTAGTTTAGCTTTATCTTAGCTTTAGCTTAGCTCTAGCTTAGCTTTAGCTTAGCTTTACTGTTACTACTAATGCTGCTTTCCTAGGGGCTCCAACTCCTAGGTAGGGTCGCACTGGGATATTTTTTTATCGTCCAACATCCCTCTCTAGGGGGACATGCCCGACCTAAGGCAACGCCCTGTCGGGCAGAGGCCGCCCACGACGTCGAGGAGGAAAGGCGAGCATTCTTCTCCTGTCGGCCCTCTGGGAGGAGGTGCTGCCAGGAGTTTTTGATTGTCCAGGAGGGCCCCCAGTGCAGCAGCATGTGGCGAGCACATGGGACATTCGGAGGTTGTGGTGTGAGAGCGGGGCGGAACCAACGAGGACATCGGTGTCGGTTTCGGTTCGGTTCGTGTCGTGCCCTGCGTGCGAGTAAGGCGAGGCCGCGCCAGCGGGGAACAGGTGACAAGCGGCCGTAGCTAAGGGCAAACGTCAACCTTGACAGGCTTGCTTCCTGTTCTGGTGGGCCGCGGTGGCGGGGGGGTCTGTCCCGTGGTTGTCCTTTGGTTGTCCCTTGATTGTGCTGTGCTTGTCCTGTGATTGTGCTGTGGTTGCCTCGCGTCTGTTCCGCAGTTGTCTTGTGGCTGCCCCGCGGTTGTCCCCTGGTTTTGCTGTGGTTGCCCCGCGGTTCTTTCGTGGGCGTCTTGTGGGTAGGCAGGCCGACCATGTGTTGTTTTTTGTGGTCTGTCCAGAGGCTGTTCGCGGTTGTCCTTGTGCTCGTAATGCCTGTCCAGTGGGCAAGCAGGTATCGGTAATCAGATGTTTCGGCGGCGAGCGAGGGGGGGAAGTGAGCAGGAGAAGGCCTTCTCAGAAGGCGACGGTGCTTCTCAGAGGCCCTCCGGTCTTCTGAGAAGTCTTCGGTGTTTTGAGGGAAGGCGTAGATAATTTCTCAGAAGGCCAAGGGACTTCTGAGCCTTCTGAGAAGGCCCGCCCCTTCTCACTTCCCCCCCGGGACTAGCCGGCGACTGTTACAGACTGGGGAGTGGTATCGACGTGAAGCCTTGTGCCCCCCCCATCTGGAAATCGGATCTCGGTTTCGTATCGTAACGTGTGCGCGGGCGAGACAAGGCTGCGCGGGATCCCCCTTACAGCAGGGCGCACCAGGCTCAAGATGTTCTGTTCTCTGGGGGCATCTTGGGGCCATTTTGGTGGGTTGGAGGGATCCACGTGTAAGCTCGTCTTCCCCTTCTTGGGCCCCTCTTTGGGCCGTTTTGGGGGCCTCTTGGGCCCCTCTGGGGGGCCTCGTGGGCTGCCTTGGGGCGGTCTGGGGGGCATCCAGTGGGCAATCTTGGAGCGTTGGAGGCTAGAATAAGGGCGAAACAATTGAAATCATTCGAAGCTTATGGAACACTTTTTTTGGGCCTCCCGGGGCCCTGTCCGGGAGTCTCTGGAAGCTCTCTTGGTGTCCCCGTGGTTGTACCGTGGCTGTCCCTGTGGCTGTCCCGTAGCTGGTCTGGCATTTGGTCCCGTTGTGCCGTTGGCCGTGCGACCCCGGTGCCGCTCGTCGTGACGTTGCCTGCGGCTCCGTAGCCATTTTGGCTCAAGCGAGCCGCGCTTCGGGAGGCCCTCGCCAGCGCGCCTGCTCCAGGCGCAGGCGCGCAAGCGGCCGCAATGTCTCGTGCTGTCACTGCTGGCGGCAAAGCCTGGGCTGCGGCGAGTGCTCGGACCCTGGCTCGGCGCCTTCGACGCGAACGGAGGGCGCAGCTCGGGCAGACGAGGGCCGCCGCTATGTCCTACCGGTTGCGTGGCCTCCGTGTCGCCCTCGACGCCCACTGGCGCCTTGGAGATCGCCTCGGCGGCCACATTCCCACGCTGGGCGCCGCGATCGCGGCGGCCCGCCTGGTGGGGCTCGACGACGCGGAGCTCTAGGATACCATTGACGCCCTGGAGACTGGCAACTGGTGCCGCCACGCCCCGCCGCCATGCGCGAGCGGGATGCCGCCGCTGCCTGCGGCTGTTCGGGCCGTTGTCCTCGAGTCGACGCTGAAGATGATGGCCTTTCCGCTCAACGCCGAGGCCGATCCCTTCCAGCCCCGACTTCCTGTTCATGTGAATGCAGAGCTCGCTCCTGGTTGCTGGGCACCGCCAGCCACAGATGCGAGCCGCTACGACGACTTTCCTGATTTACATCATGGTGACGCTCCTGATGTTCCTGCTCGTCGAGAGCCTGCTGGTCATCGAGAGCCTGCTGGTCTTCGATGGAGCCTGTAAAACTCGCTGCTCGCCGAGAACCTTATGATCTTCAAGCTGTTCCTGCTGACGACCTTCCTGGGCCGTGTCGTTTCGAACTTCCTGGTCATTTGGATCCTCCTGAAGCGGGTCTATACAACTTTCGTGGAGATCCCGCTGGTCTTCATGATGTTTTTGCTGCTCATCGAGAGCCTGCTGGTCTTCACGATGTTCCTCCTCATCGAGGGCCTGCTGATCTTCGTGAGCCTGCTGGTCTTCGAGAGCCTGCTGGTCCACGAGACCCTTGGAAACTCTTTCCTCATCGAGAGCCTGCTGGTCTTCAAGCTGTGCCTGCTGTGCCTGTACGCTTTCGTCTCGACGTCGACTTCCAGAAGGAGGCTGTGACGGCCGAGTCTGGCCCTTCTACTCACGTCGTTGTTCCTGGTGCTGCTTGGTGGAGTGCTCGTGATGCCGTGGCGCACGTCTGGCTCAGAGCACCTGGTCAAGCTGTTCGTGTGCATCGTCGACCTCACGCCGTCGTTCCTGGTGCTGATTGGTGGAATGCTCGGGATGCCGTCGCACGTGCCTGGCTCAGGCTCAGAGCACATGCTGCTCAGGCAACGCCGTTCCACTTCCCGCCGAACTCGTTCCGGCCACCAGACGATGATGACCGTCTTGATCGGCCCGCTCTACTTGTCAACCGCGGGAAGCGGGCTGTCTGAGCTATCCTCCCGTCCTCCCCTCACTCCTGTCCTTGCTCTGCGATTGGGTGGTGTGTGTGTGTGTGTGTGTGGGGGGGGTACGGGGGTGGAGGATGAGTTGCGGAGGCTGTCTTGAGAGCTCTCTCTAGTACCGCCCCGCTTGATTTAAGGAGTGTTAATTAAGTTAACACTCGTTGCACTCTGTTTCGGGCCCTCGATTTTTCGTTGTCCCTGTGTGTTCGGTCGGGTCCCTCGCTCGGCTCTGTCTGGGTTCCTGGGGTCCGTCCCTCGTCTCTTTCGGCCCTTCCTTTGGGCCCCTCGCTCGTCGTTTCGGCGCCACGGGCAGGAGTGTTCGGCAGACGATCACCCGCGAGCAAATCAAAAAAACAAATCAAAAAGTTACCTGCGGCTGTCCCACGCCTGCCCTGCGGTTGCTGCGTGGTTGGGGGTATGGCGAGGTAGTTAGAGCCGGGCGGGGCTAGGATCATGATAAATCGTTCCAGAGTGTTTGGAGCGGTCTGCAATGGCCACGGCGCTCGGTACATCCTCCCGAGATCCCCGATTTGTCCCCGTCCGATTTTGTCCCAGTCCTGGCGTCGTCTTCTGGTGAGGTCGCCAGCAGAGCGATAAGATCTCGAAGAAGGGGAGCGGAGGCGCCGACTGGGGCCTGGGGTGAGCCCACCTGTTGTCCGGCGCCCCCCCCGCGCCTCCCGTCCAGCTTCTTCTGCATGTCGATGGGGTCGAGGGGCCCCTGGATGTACGCTTTCCTTTTACCGTCAGCGCCTCGGGCAAGCTGTCGGCCCAGTCGTTCTCACACGCCGCGCCCTCTCAGTCCTTGGACTGGCACTCGTCGCCGGGCGGGCTCTCGCTGGAGAGGGACAGTGGGAACAGGGGAGGCGAGGATGGGTGGGAGGGGGGATGATGAAGATGAGGAGAGGGAGAGGGAGGGAAGGGGGTGGGAAGGAGCAAGGGACAAAGTGCAGTGGAGGAGAACGGAGAGGAGGAGATGGAGAGGGAGGGCGGGGGGGAGGGAGCGAGGGACGGAGGGCTGGGGAGGTTGAGGGAAAGCGTGAGATTGAGGGAGAACGCAAGGGGGAGCATACATGAACACACGGGGAAGCATGCACACGCACACGCACGCGCACGCGCACACGCACGCGCACGCGCACACGCACACGCACACGCACACGCACACGCACACGCACCCGCACACGCGCACGCGCGCACGCGCACGCGCACGCGCACGCGCACGCGCACGCGCGCACACATACACCCACACTTTTGCGTCGGCCTCGAGGCAGGTGTCGTCTGCGCTAGCGGAAAGGCCCAAACGGGGGTGCCTTGTGCCACCACGCAGGCGGGGGGGCGAGGCAGAGGACGCGGCCGAAAGGGGGGGCAGAGGGAGCGAGCCGCTCAGGGGGACGGG